TGCAAGTTACCGAAATTTTTAACTTCAGACAACATAAATTCATATGGAAATTGGAATGTCAAATGGTTATTACCTGATAATTTAATTATGTAATCCATGACCATGGTCTGGTTAGTGCTTAAAAGATAATGTAAAAGTGGCCAGAAAGTAGAGTAGCCTTGTGAGGGAGTTTACTACATGGTTGCAAATAAAGAATCTCAATCCTTGATGTGGCATAGCTTAATTTTATATAGCTGAAAGTTACATTACTATTTCTGACATTTAAATCTTTGTTAGGTCAAAGATATATGGCAGGACAATTTGTAATGTACATGTTAATCCTTAAAATGATGAATCCAAATAGGAATTGCTGTGTAAACTAATGAAGAATAATTCTATAGACTAAAGTGGATAATTCTCGGTTATTATTGGGATTTCAATGAACTTATCGGTGTGTAACGTCAACTATGAAGTAAGGTGTATCAACCAAAACTCACATCATCCCGCGTTAATTTAAATATATATATATATATTTATTTATTTAAGAATAAGGATAAACTAGTATTTTTACAGTTAAAATGTTTACAAATACTTCTTCATATCAATTAAAGTTTCAAGAATGAAAACATGAGATATCGTAGCAAACAGTTATCAAAGAAGCTCAAGAAACGAATTTATACGTATTTGCTAATACGGTATGGTACTGAATAATCGCACAAGGTATCATCCATACCCTAATAATCAATTTTGGCCAGAATCTGATGCTCACTGGTAAATCAACCAGGTATACTGCCAAGTGAAGTAATTAGATATAACATACGTATGACTGTCCTTACATTCTAACCAAACATTCTGCATTTATTACTATGATGTCTCATTTCAAGGTCAAGTGAAGATCCGTTGTTGTTCATCTCCATTTTTTTCTTTAAGATGATTGCTGAACTCTGATGTCATGAAATAAACAATAACTTTGAATTCCTACTCAATAGGCGAAGTTACGATATCTTCATTAATGAAAATGGTTCAACAAAATATTCACTCGGGATACCTGACCACAATGATACATACATAAAGCCTCATTTTCAATTCGATTGTTCCTACGTCAGCTGAACACTTCAATTTCATTGGTACCAGCGCATTTCACGTATTTGAAGCCAGTCGATTGTCTCCAAAGAGATTGGTCGTATTTGTTGTAAGCTACAATAAGAATTATAAGGTACATGAACGGCACTTCCAACGTTTCACAATATATTTGTTTTGATCAACTTATTCGCGCATCTTTTTTACGGAGCGACTGTTAATTTTAAACCAATGAGAGCATGTATCCTTTTCATTTATACTTCTAATTGTAAGACAGTATGACCACAATTCTCCGTGAAACTTTATGTCGAATCTTCTTGAAATTTTGATATCGATTCCATGTATATTATTATCTGAATCGCACCCATTACTTTCTCGAAGTAATCATGTTTCCTCATGGCCTTCGAATAATTAGTATACCATTACTTTCTATCTATAGGAGACATCTCCGTAGATTAACCTGGAAAATGCTATTGGCGTACACAAATACAATAAGCATTTCATAATCGATGCTAAGCGATTAAATATTCCGTACTGTAGAAGAAACTACGATTGTTCATGTTCATTCTAGTTGATAGTTTGCTTCACTATACCAAATGACAGTGCGACAAAAAGGAAGGCTACATGATTTTTGTACCAATGTAACTAGATTCTCTGTCATTATCGCCTTGCATTTTCGACAAGCCGACAATTTTCCTTTTTGAGCTACGTAAAAGTCAGTTGCTAAAAGAACCCGTTAAAAAAGGAAGGAAACGATGAGCTGAGGTGAGCGTCTCCACCTCATGTTCATCTCAATATACAAAAAAAGCTGCAACATGAAAATGTTGGTTTATTTTCTTAACCGTGGAGAGGGTCCTTTACTCTATGACAATTCCTTGAACATAGAAAAAGCTTAACATTTAAATACATAACAACGTACAATCCAACTTAATCGGGAAGGCCAATTATTTGTGCAAAAATAGATAATATGTGAAATGCCAGATCGCAAAATAGGAAACATCTAACTGTTCTACTTCTAACATCTCATCAAAGAACAGGATTTTGGAGAACCGCCGCAACGCGCTTCCTCAGATTTCACAAGACATGCATGTACGGCAGATTATGTCTCTAGCTAGGTACGTAAGTGCTTCCTTCACTTCGGATACCCAACACGGAATTTAAGTGCTGTGTCAGAAGAAAGTTCATGTTGTAGGCGATCGTCGGACCCCGAATGAGTCATATCTACTTTTCAAGGATAATGTATTAAGTGATATGTGTTCTACAGAAGCATTCTCCTAACATGGTCCGTGGTTGTTCTAGTTAGGATTTTAATGAGGACACGAAACATCATTGGTGCACCCCGGGCTTGGTAAGTACAAGAACTCGTTGGCATAACTGACATGAAGTATACTGCTCCACGGAAAATTAGGAGACCACTTCGTGGTGTTCTTTAGTAGGAAAACTATCAGGACCAAGTAGTATTCTAGTTCAACGGCGCAAGCGCCATCATGTAATTATTTTGAGAGGAACGAAAAATGCTGGAGTCAAGGGGGGACCCTCTCACTGTAACGACAACGGGGGGCTCTGCACGCTTGAAAATGATTATTTAGCGTAATTCTAACATGGACTTGTATTAATCGAAGCTGGTGATCTTACTAAACTGTCCGCATTGAACAACTATCGATAGATGCGCTTTTTGCATAGCCATAGAATATATAAAGTCCATACAGTTTACCTAATAACCTGGGCTTTCTTTATCCTTTCTGCTTCATAGTCGGGAACTTTCGCAAA